GGGGGGGGGGGGGAGCGTCACCATGGTTACCATGAAGCCGTTTCTGCAGGTGAGGAAACCCACGGACTCCATGCCACCAGGCTTCTCTCAGCCAGTTCTTGGCCCTCACAGCCCCCACTGGCCATGGACAAGCACTGGGCAGGAGAACACAGCAGTTTAGGAAGGCGGTCTGCAAGGGCAGGCAGGGGCAGGCCTGGAGCCTCGCTGAGGAACCCAGGGGAATAGGTAGCTGGAGGTGGGGGAACTCTGTTGTCCCACACAGTGGAGGCTCCAGAAATTGTGGGGCCTCTGACCTCCCCTAGGACCTGGTCACACCAAGTTGCTGGAAGGAGGAAACTGCCTGGCCAAGAACTGGGTCCCAGGGGACGTGGCTGGTGGGGGGTAAACAGGAATGTGGGACAGCAGGGTTACGGCTCCTGCCAGTGGGGGCTGCTGGGGTTTGTGAATGGGAGGGCCAAGCTCACATGCTGGGGCTCCTGTGGGGTGGGGCTGAGGAGGGCGCTAAGATCACAGGATGAGGAATGAGCCCTTCCTTCTTCTCATGAGCAGGGACCATAGGCCGGTGCACCACTTCTCAGCCCCCCCACAGCCCCTGTGAAGTGGTTCCCATGACTCGGGAGCTGTCGTCAAGCTGCAAGGCTTGGGACTGTCTCCCCACCTCCCTGGACCCCACTGTCATCCCCTAAAGATGAAAGAGTCACCTAGTGCTTCGCCAACGGTCACCTCAGGTTTTTGTTGTAAAATGCAGGTTGGGCGTGGTGGCTTGTGCCTGTAATCCCAGCACTTTGGGAGGCAGAGGCGGGTGGAACACCTGAGGTCAGAAGTTCGAGACCAGGCTGGCCAACATGGTAAAACCCTGTCTCTACTAAAAATACAATAATTAGCTGGGTGTGGTGGCAGGTGCCTATATTCCCAGCTACTCGGGAGGGTGAGGCACAAGAATCACGTGAACCCGGGAGGTGGAGGTTGCAGTGAGCCAAGATCGAACCACTGCACTCCAGCCTGGGCAACAAGAGCGAAACTCAGTCTCAAAAAATAAAAATAAATAATAAAATAAAATTCAGGTCTTCCTCTCCCGCTCCCACAGAGATTCTGATTCAGTGGGTTGAAGTCTGGATCTGGAAACGTCCTCTTTTATAAGCGCCCTGAGTGATTCCAATACAGGCATTTCTTGCAGGGCAGCTCTCAGCCCTCACTACTCACTAGAATCACCTTGTGTGGAGCCGGGTCAGGGAGGCATAGTAAAGAGTGCCCGTGCCGGGGTTCCAGGTGAGCATGCTTTATCCAGAGTCTCAGCATTCTTTAAGCGGCCCCAGCTGGTGCTGATATCCACCGGGGATTGAGAACCACTGGGCAGGGCTATGTGAGGCTGGAAGCGTTCCATCCCAGCAGGGCCAGCTCCAAGCACTGGGGGCCACGTTCAGGTCTTGAAACTGCAGGACCAGCAGATGCCTATGGCGTTTTCCAGCTCTGTCATACAAGTGACAACCTGCGGAAATCAGAAGAGAAACCCACAAGACCAGCACATTCTCAGAGGTACGTTCTCAGGCAAAGCAAACACCTGGCTCTCCTTGGTGTTCCTGGGAGAATGAGGCTGGAGAGGGTCTTGAAGGGCGAGGGAGAGTTTCTCCACGAGGGGGCGCACTTGCCCGAGTAGTGCCGCGAGCCGAACCCGCGTCCTGGTATATTCTTGTTCATATACATATGTCTATACAGGATGAGGAGCCCAGACAGTTCCCAGCCAGAAAGTGAAATGTGAGAGTGTGTGGGGCAAGAGAGATGGAGAGAGGAGGCAGAGAGCGCATGCATGGACTAAAGCAGCATTTCCTGCGCTGGGACTTTGCCTTCCTAGTGGGAGGGAGGGTATTTCATGGCGTGGAGTCCGCCATCTCCCAACCATAAGTCTGCACACATGAGGACATTGCTGGGGGACCATGCCTGAGCCATTGGGGCATACGACCGCTGTCCCGACACCCAGAGCTCTGATGAGAGGGACAGCCCAGGTCTGGGAAGCTCAGACCTCTGCTTGCCTGTGAAGAAGCTGGTGTCTTTCCCTCTGTCCATTCCGGAGCCAGCACACACCACGGCGTTACTGTGAAGTGAGCAACAGCAGGGTCTCTGAGTCAGAACTTTCAACATCAGGCACTTGCTCTTCTGGGAGGTTTGGCCTTGGAGACTCTGCTTCATTTCTCTGAGCCTCAGTTTCCTCAACTGTGCAATGGGTACAATGATGCCACCTGCATCGCAGGCTTGCTGTGAGGTTTAGAGAAAGCAGCACACAGGAGGCGTTGACCAGCCTGCCTGTCTTATGCCAAATGCTCAGAAATGTTAGCTCTCATTAGCACTATCATAACCCCAGAGAAGGGCCTTCAGGGACCCTGATCCCCACCGAGCCCCCAGCCGGGCTTCCCTGGCCTCTGCCATACCTCCCTGCCTCGGGCCTCCAGCTCTGCCGCTCAGAGCTTTGTTCTTTTTTTGCTGCTGTGATGTTTTGTCTACAGCAGTGGTCCCTTATCTAAGGTTTCAGTTACCAGTGGTTAACTGCGGTCCCAAAATTCGGCATGCAATGAGATATTTTGAGAAAGAGGAACAGAGGGAGGCCACATTCTCAGGAATGTTATATAGTATATTGTTATAATTTTCTACTTTATTATTATTTATTAGTGTTAATCTCTTACTGTGCCTAATTCGTAAATTAAACTGTATCATAGATACGTATGTCTAGGAACAAACACGGTGCGTACGGGGTCCGGCACTGTCTGCAGTTTGGAGCGTCTAGTAGTTTGGGGGTGCTGGAATATGTTCCCTGTGGTTAAGGGGACACTCCTGTAGTTTCACACTCTTCCCACCCTCAGGGCAGAGCTTCCAAAAGAGCACACAGGGTCAGAAGCCAAGGACCTCGGCAGGCTGTGTGACTTTGAGTGAGTGACTCCACATTCTGAGCCCTGATTTCCTTGTCAAAAACAGGACAGTGAGGCCTGCGTCATTCTCAGAGTCATGCTCTCAGGCCAGGCAGATACCCGGCCTTCCTCCGGCTTGGCCTTCCTGGGCAAGGTGAGGCTGGAGGGTTGCTTTAAGGACTAAGGAGTATTTTAGAAATGGAAAAGTGTGTTCATTTGCTAAGGCTGCTGGAACAAATACCACAGGTGAGGGGGTGTCAAGCTTACGCAACAGTAGATTGCTCATGGTTCTGGAGGCTGAAGTCTGAGATCAAGGGGCCGGCAGGGGTGGCTTCTCCTGGGGACTCTCTCCTGGGTTCATGGAGGCCACCTTCGCCCTGTGTCCTCACGTGGTTGTCCCTCTGTGTCTGTGCCCTCATCGCCTCTTCTGCTAAGAACACGAGTTCTATGGGACTAGGGCCCACCCATATGGCCTCATTTTACTATCGATTTTTAAAGGCCCTGCCTCCCAATACTGTCACATTCTGAGGCCGTGGGCTTAGAAATTCAACATAGGAAGTGGAGAAGAGGAGGCCCAGTTCAGCTCTTGAACCATAACGCAGACGCATACGGGATCTTTCTGCTTGTGTGTATCTTTCACTCTACCTGCCTGCGCTGGGTATCAATGTATTCCTGTGACTAATGGATTAGTTTCAAAATCAAGAATATTTGGTGTGAATAAACGTCCCATCTACAAATAAGGAAGACCCAAAGCTAAGCTGGAGCTCCCATGGAGCAGCCTTAAGCAAATTCACATATGAAAATGCAGAGTTCCTCCAAAGATAGAACTGCCTTGAATGAAATATTTTATGAAAGTTTCTACCACATATTCCATTAGAGACTAAAACCCAGGACTCGAGCGTCCCCAGGCCTCATGATGTTGTTTATTTATTGTTTTGAGATGCAATGTTGCTTTGTCGCCCAGGCTAGAGTGCCATGGCACAAGCTCAGCTCACCGCAACCTCC